ATTGTTTGATTTCTTTATATATTTTGGATATTAACCCGTTATCTGATATATGGTTTGCAAAAATTTTCTCATTCCATAAGTTGTTTTTCATTTTGTTAATTCATTGTTTCTTTTGCTGTGCAGAAGCTTTTGAATTTGATGTAGTCATATTTGTTGATTTTTGCTTTTGTTGTTTATGCTTTTGGCTAAGGCCAATATTGAGGGGCTCCTTCCCTATGTTTTATTTTAGGAGTTTTATGGTATCAGATCTTATGTTTAAATCTGATCCATTTCAAGTTAGTTTTGGTGAGTGGTGTGAGGAGTCCAGTTTCATTGTTTTGCATGTTTTTCTAGTTTTCTCAGCACCATTTGTTGAAGAGGCTATCCTTTCCCTATTGGGTGTTCTTGGCTTTTTTGTCAAATATTAGTTGACCATATATGTTGGGATTTAATCTTGGGCTATTTTGTTCTGTTGGTCTATGTGTCCATTTTTGTGCCAGCATCATACTGTTTTTATTAAGGTTTTGTAATATAGTTTGAAATCAGGAAGCATGATACCTCTGGCTTCTTTTTTTGTTTGTTTTGTTTCTTTTCAGGATTGCTTTGGCTATTTGGGATTTTTGTGGTTTTACACCAATTTTAGGATTATTTTTTCTATTGAAGAATGCCTTCATATTTTGTTAGGAATTGCAGTGACTCTGTAGATGGCTTTGAGTAGTATGAATATTTTAAACAGTATTAATCCCTCTGTTCCATTAACACAGGTTATCTTTCCATTTGTTTGTGTCTTGATTTTTTTTAGCAGTCTTGTAGTTTTCATTGCACAGATCTTTCACGTCCTTGGTTAAATTTCCTCAATATTTTGTTTTAATGCTATTGTGAATAGGATCGTTTTTTCAGATGTTTCATCATTAAAGGAATACAGTTGATTTCTGTATATTGAGTTTGTTTCCTGCAACATTACTGAAATCATTGATTAGTTCCAAGTTTTTTATCAACTGTTTTTCTATATATGATATCATCAGCAAATAGTGACAATTTTATTTCTTCACTTCTGATTTGAATGCCTTTTATTCTTTGTCTTGTCTAATTGCTCTAGCTAGAACTCGAAATACTATATTGAATAGTAGTGAGAGTGAGCATTCTTGTGTTTTTCCTGATCTTAGAGGAAAAGCTTTTTTTACCATTAAGTACAATGCTATTTGTGTGCTTGTCATATAGGCCTTGATTATGTTGAGATATGTTCCTTCTATACTCAATCTGTTAAGGATTTTTTATTATGAAAGGATGTTGTATTTTGTGAAATGTTTTCTCCATTGACATGATATGATTTGTCTTTCATTTTATTGACATGGTGTATTCCATTTATTGATTTGCACATGTTGAACCATCCTTGCTTCCCAGGGATAAACCCCACTTGGTCATGGTATATGATCCTGTTAATGTGTCCTTGAATTTGATTTGCTAATATTTTGTTGAAAATTTTGTCATCTATATATCAGGGATATTGGTCTAGTTTTCTTTTCTTGTGGTATCCTTATCTGGTTTGGGTATCAGGGTAATGTTGACTTCATTGAATGAATTTGCAAGTGTCCTCTTCTCAATATTTTTAAAGAGATTTAGGAAGGCTGGTGTTAATTCTTTAAATGTTTGGTAGAATTCACCAGTGATGTGTAGTCCTGCAGTTTTCTGTGATGGGAGTTTTTAAATTTTATTACTGACTCATCTATTTACTCATTATTGGTCTGTTCGTATTTTCAATTCATGATTCAGTGTTGGTAGGTTGTGTTTCTAGAAATTTATCCATTTCTTCTACGTTATTTAATGGGTAGGCATATAATTCAGTAGTCTCTTATGATCCTATGTATTTTTTTCATCACTTGTATCCTCTTTTATTTATAATTTTGAGTCTTTTTTTCTTCAAGTTTTGTCAATTTTACTTATCTTTTCAAATAACCAGTTTTTAGTTTTGATCATATTTTTTTTCTGGCCTCTATATTTTATTTATTTCTGCTCTGATTTCTACTATTTCCTCTCTTCTAACTTTGGTCCTAATTTGTTTTTCTTCTTTCTTTAAAGTTAGGTTGCTTATTTTAAGTATTTCTAATTTATTAATATATGCATTTATTACTATAAATTTTCCTCAGAACTTTTACTGCATCCAATAAGATTGGATATTTTGTATTTCCATTTTAAGATAGCTTTTTATGTCCCCTTTGACTTCTTCTTTGACCCAATGGTTTAGAAGTGTTGTTTAATTTCCACATATTTGTAAATCATCTCACTTTCTTCTTGTTGATTTTAGTTTCATACCATTGTAGTAAAAAAATAGTATGATTTTATTCTTAAATTAAAAAAAAATTGTGTCCTATCTATGATCTATCCTGGAGAATGTTCCGTGTGTACTTGAGGTGTATTCAGATGCTGGTGGATGAAGTGTCCTGCATATGTGTATGCCTGTTAAGTTCATTTGTTCTAAATCTAAAGCGTGGTTAAGTTCCAATGTTTCCTTGTTGATTTTCTGTCTGGACAATATAGTTATTGCTGACAGCGAGATACTGAAATCCCTTACTACTGTTTGTCATCTGTTTCTCCCTTAAGATTCATTCATTCATATTTCCTTAATATATGAGGTGTGGTAAAAAAAAAAAACCATGGTGAATGTTTAAATTAAAATAATTTTGTTACAGTAAAAGACACATTGCCATTAATCCCCCTCAAAATACTCCCCCTTGCTTCAAACACACTGATCCCATTGTTCTTGCCACCATCTGAATCAGTTCTGGAAGTCCTCTTTTGTGTCTTTAGTTGTGCTGTCATGGCTGCCTCGATGTTCTGAATCGTTTTGACTTTGGAAAAGAGCCAGAAGTCTCACAGTGCCAGATCTGGTGAATAGGTGGATGAGGACACTCCATGTTTTTACTTGACAGAAACTGCTGTACCAGAAGTGATGTGTGACTCGGAGCCTTTCTGTTGTGATCACAAAATACAGTGAATGCTGCTGCCAAGTACCATCCAATAGAAAGGCAGGCATCTTCAATATGAGAAGTGGTGGATCGAACCTTAGTAACAGTGTGTGACAAGTTTCAACTTGTTCGGTGCAGTCATGTGTGTGTGAGCTATGGTTGAGAAGGAATGTTTTAAAGTGTGCTGTAAATCATCCTCCATCATGACATTACTTCTGGTATACTGCAACTTCTGTCAAATAAAAACATTACGGTGTGTCCTCATCCACCTTATTCACCAGATTTGACACCGTGCGACTTCTGGCTCTTCCCCAAAGTCAAAATGATTCAGGACATCGAGGCAGCCATGACAGCGCAACTTAACACATGCAAGAAAGAGGACTTCCAGAACTGCTTCAGAAAGTGGCAAGAACAATGGGATCAGTGTGTTTGAAGCAAGGGGGAGTATTTTGAGGGGGATTAATGGCAATGTGTCTTTTACTGTAATATTTTTTTTTTTTACTTAAACATTCACATATTATTTGATCACTCCTCATATGATCAATAATACATTTATACTTAGCTTGGCGGTTGACCTATATTTGCCATTACTGTTACTGAAAACAAGCTTACTCCCCAAAGGAATTTGGATGTATTAGTATTTAAAACTTTTGATCTATGTGTAAAGTAATATACTGTCAGAAAGATTATTTCCTTTTCATCTTCAGAATCAATATTATCCTTTAGGTGTCATTATGAAAAATTTAAAATGCATTTTGTTAATTTATCCTTTGTATTTCTTAACTGTCACGATGAACTAAAGGTATATAATTTAAAATATTTATCTGACTTTGCTGGCAGACTAAGGAGTAACAATAAACTAATTTATTATACAAAAATTATGTTAAAATGGTTTAAAACTACTACCTCTTTAAAAACCTTCTCATAGCTTTGTAAATGTGTTTCATAGGAAACAACGTACTAATTCTTTTTCGACGACCGTACTTCAAAGAAAATTTCTGCTTTGAATACTGTCAGAAAACAACTTAAAACTTTTACAATATAAAAAGTCATCATACAATTATTTCAAAATTTTATACAATTATTTCATTTTATTTTTCCTTTATTTTAATCACATACTTTAACTAAAAAAAGATATGAAAGATGTTAAATAAAATTTGGGAAATTGGGATAAGGAAGCATTATTGATGCCCAAAACACAAATTCCAAATGGTTTCACATAAGCTACATATTTAAATATCTAATTTTCAAATCTACTGCTTGATAGGATGCACACTGGTCTTCTAGAAATGGTGCCGTGTTACCCAAGACCAACTGCAAACAAAAATGATGTTGCTCAGAGAAATGGCAACCTTCAGAGGTGCTCTATTGCACTAATGTGGCCATTAAAACTAATTGTCAGCTGTTTTTGAAACACCCAATGACACTGATATGACTGCAGAAAATAAACTCCTGAAGTATATTACTATTGGGTTGTCAGAAAAGTCATGAAGTATTTTTTTCTATGTTTTTCATTGCAAAAATGTGTCATGACTTTTCCGACAACACAATAATATGATACATATTATTTAACATGACTCCCAGGTAGCCCTGGCTTCAGAGCTGATTCCACAGGACATACTTAGGCCAAGTTACAGGATATATAGTATTTACTATTTTATTTACTGCCTAAGATGTTTCTCAGTTAAGTTTGGAATTATATTTATAGGTAGAAATATAGGTACCTATACATTTTGCTTATAGATTCAGTGACAACTATGAATTACACATACTTGGGAGATGGGGCCATGCCTTTGATTCTGTTTGTACTCTGTGTCCGTCACACTGGTATTCACACAACTGGTACAGTAATGCAGTAACTATTTATCAGGACTTCTTTAGTCACTCCATTTTGGGATTCTTACAGAAACAAGCCAATCTAAAAAAATTTTTAGGGGGCTGGCCGAGTGGCTCAGTTGGTTAAGAGCTCGCTCAAGAGTTTGAGCTCTGAGCAACAGCAGTTCGAGTCCAGCCCGAGCTGAGCAGCCGCTGAGCTGCCAACAGGTATCAGGATGGCTCAACTAAAAACCAACAACAACAACAACAACAAAAAAGAAATTCTAGGCTTTAAAAATTTAATAAATAAAAGGCACTTGCCATTACTAATCATAATTCAAAATGTGGTGTTAAATTAAGGCTAGAAGTGAATATTCTAGATGTGTCTACATGTATAAAGTGAAATCCAAGATAAGGAGTTAAGGAATATACAAAAACAATATGGGAGCGACTATAAAAAAATTGGTTACACTTTAAAGTGAAAAAAATGTTACTTTTTCTATATTGCAGCTATAAAATATTTGAGGAACTATTGAAGAAGGAGGTAAAGTGATTTAAAAAATAAACAGAAGTCTTCCAATATAATAAACTATGATCCTGATAGGTTTTTGGGAAAACCAAAGGTTTTAAAAAAAAATCATTGACCTTTTTTGATCAATTTGGATTTTTACCATTCCATACAACCTGAATTATAACTAAACAGCTACATGTTACTCACAGTGTTTTGTTAAAATGCAAGGAAAAAAAATTTGTGAGTCTGAACAACTGAGAAACTAAAAGATCCCATCCTTAGATTTAAACACTTAATTTTCTTACAAAAATAACTTATTATGCCAGTATTTATCTGAACATGGCGGCCTTCAAGAATAAACTAACAATTGGAATGACCATAGTATCGTTATGAGCTGTAGTGAAAAAAACTAGTTATTTTTCCTGTTTGAATAAAGAGATTAGACAAGAGTGAAAAAACCACAACTATGAAGAAAAAAGGCAAATGTAAATAAAAGATACACATCAAAACAGAGTCCAGAAGGCAAAAACATAAATATTAGAAAGATGCTTCAAAAGTTAATTACATTCACAGGGAAAACTTTCATGAAAAATATTTAGAAAATAAATTAACACATATTTTTAAAATATAGAACCCTCAATACTTGCTATATTTGGGATACTCTAAAATGTGCAATTGCTATAAATAATTGTTTCCTCGGGTATTTTTGAATGCTGTAGAAATCTATAGAATTTTACTTACTGTTACAAAAAATTTTTCTCAATTGTGAAAAATTCAAATCAATTCAACTTTTAAGAAAGAACAGAATGAAGAATTTCTTCACTATAATTAATATAGCATGATAATAGGGTATCTGTTTATTATTCCACGTCGTGTTTTTTAAATGAAATATGATTAGGGAATCAATTTCAGAGAATTTTTAGAACAGGAGACTGAAAACCAAGTTCTCTCTTTTTAGTCAAGCCACAAAACTGGAAGTGATCAAGTCTACTGTGTACAACTTAGACATGTACGTATAAAGGGCAGAGCAGGCTCATGGTCCAGCCAGCCAGCCTAAACATCATTTCCAGGACTCAGCAAATCTGTGGCCCACAGGCTGAATGTAGCTTGTGGCCTATTTGCGTACAGCCCTCAGCTAAGAATGGTTTTTTACCTTTTTTTACAGGGTTGAAAACAAAACAAAAAAAAGCATAGGTGACAACTGTATATGGTCTACAAGCCTAAAATATTTATGACTTGGCCCTACACAGAAAGTCCGCAGGCCCTTCATTCATACCCATGTTATACAGAATTCAGATAGTGCATTTACAAGGCCAATATAATGTGCATTTATTCCTATCAAGAATGTAGTAACAGTCTAAAAAAGATGTCTTCTGTCAGCGTTTTTCCATTTTTTCCTCATCTTCAGTGTCATTAGAGTTCATCCTACAATAATAATGTAAAAGTAATTGAAAGAGAAAGGAAGTATGAGTTTATAATATTAAAAACAAGTTAAAATAATATACATTAACCAAAATTTTACCTTCTCAAAAATAAATTCTCAATATTCTTATTTAATGGACCACATGCCCATAGTTCTTACTTGTCCATGGCAGATACTACCAATTACAGTGTTACATATTTTCAAAGTCATATATGATATACTTTTAAATTCAGTTATGATATCCTGGTTTATGACTAATAGTATTTTCTATTTCAAATGTTTAATGAGAAAAAGGCACAATTTAAAAAATAAAATATCTTGAGAAAACATAGTTAAACCATCAGAAAAACATTTTTGTTTACTGAAACCAAGAAAATAAAGATACATAACTATCTCTTTCCTGTCTTTAAGATTTGGATAACATATAATTCTTGAAGCAGGCTGTAAGGCTGTCTTATACTGGGCTCTGTAGTTCTAATGTGGTTCCTTCTATAAAGCCACATGTCTCTAGCCCTCGCCAGAAACTGTACTGTTCTTTCATCCTTCTTTTACCTTACAGGGAAAAAAATGCAAAAAACCCGATATGTGACTATATTAAATTCCATTCAGAAAAGTACTCTAGCATTCATTCACTCTTTGGTCTGTTTCCAAGTACATCTAAGTATGTCTCAGAATGACAATGATTTAAAGAAGAAAAAAAATAAACCACTCTTCTGAAGACTAGCAGGAAAAAAGTTGTACTGCTTCTTGATAGATTAAAAATTCAAAGAGAGGCCAAGATGAATAAGGGTTCTAATACATCCCGACTATACCAAGAACAAAAGAAAATTTGCTACTGAAAACATGTTATGAGGCTCCAGTATATTTATTCCTAACAAGTCAATGCTTTATTTACATTTGAGCCGAACTGAAATACCTTATGGCCACAGTCACTATTTTTTGTTAAATGGTTTTACTTTTACAAATTTCTAAGCATTTTAGTGTCTAGAGGCTACATTCTGATTCTCATATATTCCGAAGAAGATTTTTCTAATTACTTACTATTTTTTGAAGCTTCATTTTACCTGTGTATTGATACATATTATGTATAGTAAGAATAACTTTAGATGTTTGCCAAAGTCATCTCTAGACTCAGTCCTTACCTTGTTTCTCTTTCCGTGTTTTTGGAGATGTTCTAATTTTTCATATATTAAGGTAGCAATCTCTTTTGCATCTCTGGTATCTATTTGTTCTCCCCAAATAGTTCTCTAAAATTAAAAACACTTTTCTTATAATCTTTAAACTTCTAATCAAAACATGACATTTCTATCTAAGAAACCTGACTAAATATTCCTTGAAGTTCCAAGTGTTTGAAACTCAAATTTCTTCAAGGAAATAATGCTGCAAAAGCACAGTTAACTCATTATTTACCTGAAATAAATATTAACAATACTGTTAAGGAAACATGTAAAATAATTCCTTAGGAAAAATGCATTGCTAACTTCAAATGCTTCAAAACATCTAAATTGTGTAAGAAAAGATACCCCAGAGAACTCCAGTCTAATACAGTCACTAGCACAGATAAAACCTTGACTAACGACAACCATGGAGAGCAGTGTGTATATCTTCTGGTTCTCATCTGCTCACTGCAGGAAGGCCAGGGAGAGAGGTCAATATACCCAATATTCTCTGCTTATTTTGGATTTGGAGCCAGCTGTTTCATTCTTCCTGGTGGGAACCCCATACTTGTATACCAGGATTTTGTTTCTTTGTGTAACTAACTGCCCACCAAGGTTTATATTTGTTTACTCCAATCATTACTCTGCGTTGGACTTCTCATCTGGCCTGGACTTTAGGTTGCCACCCATTTTCAGTTTGGAGGGTAATTTTGGGTCCTAATCTGTCCTCTGGACTCCTCAGGACACATGATAACATCACCTTTTCAAACAACTTCCTCTATGGCCTGGTCAACTCTGTGACTGCTCAGTATACCGATATTTTCCTAACTTCATTTTACCTGAAAAGGCCCCTATTTATGTCACCCATGTCTCAGCGTTCCAAGAACTGGGAAATAGGGCTAGTGATTCCAAGGGATTAAAGATTCCAGCTCTGGTATAAGCTCCTTTACCCTCGAGTTCTACTTCCCCTAAGCTGTTCTTAAGCTAATCAAAATCCTTCACTGAAAAATCTAGATGTTGGACAATTCTAGATTTCTGAAATGCATCGTTTTGTTTCTTTATTTAGCTCTATTTCAAAATGTATTATAATTACCAATAAATGGCATGAGATCTTAACCTGATATTCTCTCTCAAAAAGTATATATTAACATATTTGAAATTATTTATTTCAAATGTTTCAGCAGAAAACATGAATATAATACCTGGCAAATATTTATTTTATCACAGTTCTATTGTCGAAAATGTCATTCTTTTGCTTGGGAAGATGGCAAAGGTCATGAGTATTTTCAGTTGGCAATTATACCGGGTGAAAGACACATACTTTTGTATCAATAATCATAGAAGTTATCACCTGAATTTTAAGACCCACTGGTAGATGTTTAGTTTTTTTGTTAAAAAAAAAAAGCATATTGTCAGTGACCAACAAAGGAATTATGACTTAATCAAAGGACCCTAACTTTTATTTCATAGTCTAAACCATTAATAAATATTCCTCAAGATAAATGCTTGGGTACTAAGGCTATTTAAAAAGTATTATAATAGTATATTATCTTTTCCTGGAAAAAAATAATTATAAAGGTAATATATGTTAATTCTATGAAAGTAGGAAATACAAATCTTCACAGAAAGTAAATAATTACCTTGAATTCTACCACCTACAGAAAACCACTATTAATATTTGGTGTGCTTCTTTAATAGTTTTCCTATTCATGAGTATAAAAATTTTAAGGCAATGGAGATCATATCAACTGTGAGTCAAAAAGAACACATTTACGATCACTTAGTTTATATGTAAAACAGGAGCGTGTTTCAGTAATATGCAATAAGATAATGACAAAGGGAGAAGAAACTAGAAAAAAGCATTACTCAGACTAAAAACAAACCTTGTGAGGCTGGCTTGCTAAAGGAAGGAATATCAAGGAAAAGTGTGTACGTACCTTTGCTCTTTCGTAGGGATAAAATTTAACGGTCGGATAGGCTCTGATACCAGCTTTCTGGCACGTTTGAGCATAAGCCTGACAGTCTACTTTTCCAGCTTTCACTTTTCCTTTAATCATCTGAAAAAAGAAAAATATTCTTTGACATTCTCTTTGGCATAAAGTATTTTGGCAACTACAAAGCAATACGATCCTAAAAATTTCAAATCTATACATCTAAGGATTTGTTACTTAAAAAAACTTAAGTTTTAATGCTTTCCATTCAAACAAGATTGCTTCCAAATTCTTACTGGTCTTTAAATCCCTATTTGTCCAGCACCACCTCTCCAATAGCAAATAAACTCTTCTTTGCTTTATCCAGAAGGTTTACCCTGAGCTATCTCAACTTCTTTCTGGTACCCGTTCCTGTCTGCCTGCACCCCGCCGCTCTCTGGACTCATGCACTGAGGTAGCACTCTTCATCTCGGGGAAGGCTCACTGTTCCAGCTGCACTCTCCAGTCCCTCTCTGGCAGATTTCCTATTCTCATCAGCATATACACATAGGATCAAAAAAGGATTCCCTCCATAACTGCACTGGTTCCTCAAGCTACCACCCTGCTTCCCTCTTTTTTTGGGCAGTTTACTCTTTTATCGCTTTTCTCGTTATTTACTTATTTATCAATAGGTTTTGGTCTCCCTTCTGTTCTTACTGGTTCCTCCACTGAAACTGCCATATGTTCACCAATGACTTCTATTTGCCCAACTGAATAGACACTTGTCAGTCTTTTTAATACCTGACACTGCTGACCACGCCTTCCTTCACTTTTTTCTTTCTTGGCATTTATCACTAGTTTCTCTTGGCTTTCCTATCACTCTGGCTGTTCCTCATTTCTAGCAAGGGGACTTCTACACCTGCCCCTCAAATTATAATATCCAATTACAGATCCATCTTTGCTCAACAGTTTTTTCACTGTGAACACTCACTCAAGGGAGGTTTTATATACGTATATGCTGCTGAGCCCCAAACTCCCCCTCAGTTTCTCTTGTTATGCACTGGCTTGCTTCAGCTACGTAAGCACCTTAAACACAACATTTCTAAAACGAATCCTTCCCCATCAACCTACTCTTTCTTCTGTCCTACTATTCACTTAGTTCAAACTAGAAACTAGTGCCATCCTCGATTCCTTTCTCTCCCTCCATTATCATCAAACACTAAATTGTATTCTTATAGCTTTCCTGTATTTTCCAGTTCTTTCTAACACCAGTGCCTTAATCCTTCAAGTGAACAGCTCTCACTTTGGGACAATTAAAATATCTTTTCTGCCTTTAGTTTTGTCCCCAAAGCTGGAGGAACTCACTAGGTAGATGAACCGGTGTTAGGACACCAGCAAAGCTGCATGCAGAAACATGTATGCACACACGCATACTGAGGGTCAGAGGAATCCAGACCAAACTAGAAATCTAAGGTTTATGTCATTTCCAAGATGTTTATTTTATATATTAGTTGACTTGAATTTTCAATTACTTAAAGGAGGACACCATTGTTTTTGGCGCTCTAAATATCTTTCTCGGACCTTGTTGGCCTGTGTTCAGTTCCCCCAATGTGATCTGCCTAAAACATAAACTGAATTCTGCCATATCCACTAGTTCTCCAATGTTTATAGACCACATTCCGAACAATACATAATCACTGAGGAGGACTGTGCCGTGTGAGCAGTGTGAGGAAGAGGACGACACCTCCCCCTCCTTGCAGAGTGCTTGGGCCCCGGTTTTTGCCTTTCTCCTTCTGCATTTATACTCTGGTAACACTGGACCAACAGTGAAGATCCCTGAACACGCCTCACTCTCTCGTGTCCCTGCATCTTTGTGAATACTGTCTTCTCTGCTTACAGTACTTTCTAGCCAACCCTTTTAAGTGCCAAACTCCTAGTCATGTTGTCATTTTTATCACAAATATTACCTTCTTTGTGGAGCCCTGTGTCTCCGCCTAGCGTGACTGACATGCTTCCCCCATGCGCTTGCCTCACTCTAGTTTCACTGCAGCAATGATACTGTTGCGTTATGTATATTTATTTGCATTTTATTTTCCCACTAGTGTAAAATTTTGAACACATGGAACTTTTGTCTTTCCATTTTTGTAGCACAGTATTTCGCGTAATACTTTTTACTTGGTGCTTAAGATTTGTTGAATAATGATCTTTTTCATATTTAAAAATTTTCTGCTTGCTATATTCAAACATTTTGTTAGACCTGTTGGGGAATGATGTCAACATCATGGCAGAGTGAGGAGGCACCACTGTTTCTCCCTTTAAATCTATTGGGTTGTTAGAAAAGTCATGACGTATTTTTTGTTTTTCATTGCAAAACTGCGTTATGACTTTTCTGACAACCCAATACAATAATAAGCCGAACTATATATAACTCAGTAAGGAACCCCTGCTCAATACACAAACATGCCTGAAAAAGATGCACACGTCAGGACCTATGAAGGTGGGCATTTTGGAACAAGTAGGGGAGGCAGGACAGGGGAAGGGCAGGGACGGAAGCCGCAGGTGCAGTCTGTGCCCGCAATGGCTCCAGCAAGCACGGTAGCAGTGGAGGATTTGGTCTGCAGCCTTCATGCTACTGGCCTGAGGTCTAAGAGGGTCAGAAGCAGTTTCCCTCCAAGAAAAGACATCTTCCTTGCCCCCTCCCCATGGTGGCAGAACTGGGTCGAGGTAGCTGGGGGATTTTAAACAAAACAGCAGCCAACAGCCATTATTAGCAGGTGGGTGGGCCCGCAGGATAGCAAACCTGCCTCCCTGCCCCCACACGCCCCAGCACAGCCCAGTGAAACACAATGGAAAAAGGAGGCAGTTCTGAGAGCTTGCAAAACTGGTTCCCCACCACCTGCCACATCGCCCCACCACAGTGGTGGTACCCCATAAATGAGGCAAGATGGTCACAGAGAGGACATCCACCAGTGGCACTTGAACCAAAGTGACACTGCTCCACCATGATCCCAGGGGTGCAATAGTCAAGTGAGAGAAAACAAATAATTGTACTATAGCACCACCTACTGGGAATCCAAAGAAAGTATCCTACTTATCAACCTGCTGAACTGTCTGTCGAGAGCAAAATAGTATCTACGCAAAAGAGATCACTACCTAAAATGTGCAGACAGAGAAATAATCCATCACATACCATGAAGAACCAAGGTAATTTGGGAGCACAGAAAAAAAAAGTCTCCAGGAACCAAACTTAAAGTCATAGAAGATTGATTTGATTGACTGAGAATACAAGATTGCAGTTATGAAGAAACTCAGTGATACATAAGAAAACTCAGAGAGGCAGTTCAATGAACTCAGAAATAAAATTAACAAAGTGGTATTTTACCAAAGAGATTGAAACTATAAAAAAGAACCAAACAGAAATCCTAGACAGCACTGGAAACAAAGCAGCCCAAATGGAAGAATTAGCACCCTCAAAGACAGAAATCTAGAAATGACTCAGGAGGAAGATGAGGGAACTCAAGAGTTAAAACAAAAAAAAGAAAGAGCCCTACAAGAACTATCTGATTACTTTGGAAGAATTCTGAAGGCAGCCAGGGGAAAAACAACTGTAGCCTAACAAAGGAAACCACATTAGATTATAATCAGATTTATCAGAAACATTACAAGATGGAAAGAGAGGAAGGAAACATTCAAAATACTGAAAGAGAGGAACCATCAGCCAAAGATAATTATATCCATCAAAGTTATCCTTTAGATGTGAAGGGGAAATAAAGGCTTTCCCAGACAAACAAAAGCTGAGCGAATCTGCCACAAGATGTCTTTATAATAAATGTTGAAAGAAGCTATTCTACTGGAAACAAAAACACAAAAGTATACAAAACTCTGAGTAAGATAATTAACAGACAGAAGCAGAAAACTGAAAAAATATTTCAGAATAATTAAACAGTTATAACACAAAGTTTAAAGGGGGAAAAAAGGGCATTAACTGTAACTACAACATTTTGGTAACAAATGCACAACATAAAAAGGGATAATTTGTGAAAACAAAATTCATAAAAGGGGAGGAGGAAAAGGACTAAACAGGTACAGATGAATGAAGAGGCAATCAGAAGAAAAAGGACTATTGTGTGTATGAAACATTTTACACAATCCTAATTCCAACTACAAAACAAAAATCCAGAGCTGAAACATGAGCCATAAAAACAGAGGAAACAAACAAACAAAATTATAGAAAACCACAGAACTAAAATAGCAGTCAGAATCAGAAGGAAAAAGAAACAAGGGAGATTCAGAGCAACCGGAAAACAAAAGATCAAATGGCTGTAGTAAGTACTCCGATATCAATAATCACCGTAAATGTACATAGATTGAACTCACCAATCAAAAGGCACAGCGAAGCAGGATGGATTAAAAAACAAGATCCAACTATATTATATGTTGCCTGCAGGAGACTTGATTCAGCACCAAAGACAAACATTGGCTCAAAGTGAAGGGGGTGGAAGGTGATATTCCAAGCAAATGTCACATAAACAAAAAAAGGGGTAGTAGTACTTATATCAGACAAAACTGATTTCAAGATTTAAAAAAAAGGTAACATGAGGCAAAGATGGACATTTTATAATGCTAAAGGGAACAATTCATCAATATACATACAGCCAAGATATGTAAATAACCTAAGTCCTTTGATGGATAACTGGATAAAGATGATGTAGACATATATACAATGCAATACTGCTCAGCCATAAAAAAGACAAAATTTTGTTATTTGTGACAACATGGATGGATCTTGAAGGTATTATGCTAAGTGGAAAAGGACAAGAACTGTATGATTTCACTCATATGTGGGATATAAAACAAAAAGCAACAAATGAACAAATAAAACAAACAAAAGGTTCATAGATACAGACAACAGAATGGTGGTTACCAGAGGGGAAGGGAGATTGGGGGAGGAGGAAGAGGGTAAAGGGGTCAAATACAAGGTGACAGAAGCAGACTAGACTTAGGGTGGTGAGCACACAATAGAGTATACAGGTGTCATACTATAAACTTGCACACCTGAAATTTATATAATGTTATTAACCAATGTTACCTCAATAAATTTAACAACAAAAAAAATTGTTGAAGAAAAGGAAGCTTAAGAGGAAAGGAAAATATACATGGTAAAAATGAATAATCTCTATTTGAAGGACCACTCAATAACTAAAATAATCTTTTATGATTCATAGAAGCTTTGAAATCACTTTCCTTGGGATGTTCAGCTGTTTAAACTGGTGGAACTGGAACTGACTTTCTCATTTTAATGAGTGTTTTATAGCCCTTGACGAAGTTTCTTGAGTATAGAGGCAAGGAACCTATCATTCCAGATTAGGTCATTAATACAACTGTTACGAAAGGAACACCAAAGACTTAGACTACGTTCAGTTTATGTATTCAGTTTAATTTTATAGGCATTTACTGAATTAGACACTTGGGATACAAAGATAGGGAAGACATGTACCTTGCCCTCAAGCAGCTCACAGTCTTATGGAAGAGACAGATATCTAGGTAGATAATTAACATCCATTGAATAAGTACAATGATGGAGTATAAGACATCAAGGTGACACTGTTTAATTGAAAAGGGCAGAGAACACAGGAGGGCCACTGGAGCTGGTTTTAAAGGATAAGGAGAAAAAAATCCAGATGACTAGGGTAAGGAAAAGCCATTTGAGAGACAGGAAACAGCATGTGCATAGGGGTACTTGGTTCAGTGGAGTAGTTTGTGATGCCTGGAGTGTAAAATGTGGGGTGGGGAGAGAGAGAAAGCTGAAAAGGTAGAAAGAATCAGATCAGTGACCTGTAGTCAAAGATGCATATCAAGAAACTTGGTTAACAGGGAATCAGAGAAGACAATATTTTAAAAAGATCATTGGGGCAGAACTAAAGAAGGTAGACTGGTAACATGAGACTCGTTAAAAGGCACATGTGATAAGGTGGTGAGCAATGATGGTGGCTTGACCAACGAGGCTGGCAGAGGCCATGGAGAGGAGGTGACAGATTTGACAGGCATTTATTTAGGCTACACCTGTTAGAATCTGTTGATTGCCTGGAGGGCAGGAGAGTAATGGTGGCAGGGGAAGGAAACAGGGAAGCAGGACAAGTAAGGGTCTGGCAGTTAAGGTCAGCAGATGATGCTGTCAGCCAAGGCAGAGAAGATGTTAGCTAAAAGTTTTAATTAAGGATGAAATCTACTGCAGAGATTATGGTCATAGAAATGAAATGGGGATTTTAAAATTCAGAGGAAATGTTTAAGGAAAAAATAAAAATTGTATTGAAAATGTTGTTTCTAATTATAATATTAAAACATGCATGTAACTATGACTTATTTAAGTAGATAGACAAGACTTACCCTAGCCAGGAGCTCAAACTCGGGAGCAAAATTCTGGCAAGGTCCACACCAAGGAGCATAGAAATCAACCACCCAGTGATGTTTCCCTTGTAAAACTTTTTCATTGAAGGTCTGAGGTGTGAGATCTATGGATGCTTGAGGTAAAAATCTGTGGCAAGGAAACAAAATTATTTTTCGTTATACAAAAGCAAAGCAAACTTCTGAAATATAAGATTGCAAAACTTTCTAAGTTAAACATGACTTGAAAGAATGACAGTGTAATAAAGCCCAACCTTATCTTGGTAAATAATAATTTTTTCCTAAGTACTTTAAAATGCTGGAATCTTAAACAACTCACAGTAAACAATTACAGGCCTAAGAGGAAGGCAAATAGAACTGACTCTATTTTATACAACGATACATATTTTAATACTCACCCTAGACCCCAGGTTCTTAGGGAATAGGCATCCCTATTCCAACCACTGTAGCTACTAAAAAAAGAAAAAACACATAAGTTGTAAATATTTTCCATTATTAGATATGTTCAAAAAACAGTATCATTGTAGCAATTTATTTTTTGTTTTTTTAGCTGAGCCATCCTGCCACCCGTTGGCAGCTCAGCGGCAGCTCAGCTCGGGCCGCGCATTGAACCGCTGTTGCTCAGAGCTTGCACTCTTAAGCGAGCTCTTAACCAACTGAGCCACTCGGCCGGTTCTCATTGTAGCAATTTAAACGATAACTTTAGTTGAATGATTTCATCTAGCATCTCTCTTCTCAGGTATGCCCAGCTTCAAACACAGCTTACGTGGCTTCCCAATTACGTTTTTCTCTAGTCTTAATGTCTTTCTGTGCTCCAAACCTGAATGTCTAGCTGCCTGCTGGACGTCTGCTACAGACCCATGGGAACAACAAAACTAAAAATATCCAGGCTTTAATTTCTGAACCTTTACTCCCGTTACTACTGTCTGTGAAATTCCTACCCACTTTTTCAGAGCTATGTTAAACGACCAGAATAAATATGTTCAAATTTTACACAATACTTACTGATACTGATAAGCTTTACTTGATTTTTGGGGAAAAAATCTTATCTCAGGGTATTTCCGAACATTTTCTTCAGCACAAAAAGAATTATACTGTTGGCAGTCTATGCTGCCCACATTGATCAGTCCACTTAATGTCTATAAAAGAAGAGGAGATAAATAGATCACGGTGACTAGAATAAAATGACCTCCATAACTATTTTATATATGTTCACAATAGAGAAACTATCACTATGGGATAGTTACATTCTTTATCAGCGATTTTCACCAAATAAAAATGGGTAAGGGCTTAAAACATAATAGAACACTTAAAGTGATAAACTGGAAAACTTATTTTGTAGTCAAGAACTTACAATTGTGGCATATTAACAATTGATTTCATTTACCTATTACATGGGGAAAATAATTTATTTCTAAAATTCAAAGTGTTAGAAACCAAGAACTAATGAAGGTCTTTCCAATGGTATTTCAAGAGTTACTTTTTCAAATGGAGACATGGATTGCAGGTAGCATACTGGCTCATACCTGAATTTAATAAAATTATTGAGAAGAGCACAAAATTGTATTATCTTAAATGTTAAGATACTGGAAATCACTTTAGTTCTTAACTTTGTTCATTTTTTTAAATCTTAGAAATATAAAATAGTTACTGCAGGTTCCATTCTGGTATTTAAATAATTTCTTTCTATTCTTTCCTGATTTATGATACCATGTCTATTTGTATAAAATTTAAAAATTCAAATGTTTTACTGATCAAGGCTATTTTTTTTTTTTTTACTTTTAAGTCCTACAATATTGTGAAGAAACTATATATTTAAGCTTTAAAAATAAAAAAAAGTAGAAAAATTTTACTAGGAAATAAAAAGGAGAGCTTGGGGTTGACTTGGGGAGCAATTTGGTCAAATATGTATGGAGCGACATACAACAAAGGGTAGAGTATTCTAAACCATTCATATACCAGACAGAAACTGAATTTAAATCTAAGTGGTATGATCAGAATTGTTATTAAGTTACAATCTAGAAGTGGGTCCACTCATCTCAGTTTCAAAATAATTCTGCTAAATAAACATTCTTAGTAAATGTTAAGATTTAAAATAAACTACTTTACTATACCCGGGCCATTCTTTTCCATTCTGGCATTAAAACTTGGCATGGATGACACCATGGAGAATAGAAATCAACCATCCAGACTTCGTCATGTTTTCTTTGTTTAACCAGTTCATTGAAAGTGGTTGGTGTCAGGGAGATCACTGAAGGATTCATAAGATCCTAAAGACAACACAGCTTTCATTATAAGATATAAAAAAAGAGTCGTTCACATATTCTTGGCAAATTGTTGGTATTTGTCATTTAGAAAAGTTTGTTTTTGAATAATAAAACGATACTGAAGGATATTTTAAAGAGAATTTATAGTGAATTATTTTAAAAGGAAGAAACGATCCCTAATTTATTTATTTTTTTAAGCTGAGCCATCCTGCCACCTGTTGGCAGCTCAGCGGCTGCTCAGCTCGGGCTGGGAATCGAACCGCTGTTGTTCAGAGCTCAAACTCTTGAGCGAGCTCTTAACCAACTGATCCACTCGGCCAGCCCCCTAATTTAATTTTTAAATTTGGATTTTGACCATTAGTCTTGTTAAATTAAGGTATATTTCTTCCTATTCCTTGTATCACTAAAATCATTTTAGGTAGAGAAAAGAGGTAACTTTATTTAAGATTATGGGTAGATGAGGCAAGATTTCCAAGAGCTGCCCACATGTCTACATAAGCCATATAGTTATGGTTTGGAAATGGCCCTTTAATTAATAATGGAAAGCCTACTATTCTCTTTTTCTGACATTCTGACTGGAGATACTACACAGCCTCTCTACACGTCACTTGCTCCAAATGCTTCAGTCTATCATGACTGGGTAATATTAACAAAGATGTTAGCTTCCCTAGGGGAAACAATCAAAACCAAAACACAAAACCAAAAACTATGACTCTGGAAGAGGAGGGAGAGATGAATAGGACAGACAGTGGAATGGTCATTACATAAATAAGCTAAAGTTTTTCATGCTTAGGAGGCCCTTGTTAACTATTTTAGTCAATCAAGACTACTAGTGAAAAAAAACTGGAGATGCTCTAGATGTAGGGCATTTCTGTGCTAATAACACAGGCTTGGCATAGCTGCCCAGGCTTGAAAGAAGCCCTCCACTGGGGGATGGAGTAAGGCTGCCCTTACCCACACATTTCCTGGATAATATTGGACTCATTCCTATCCCATCAATCTGGGACCTAAAAGAAGTAATCTTCGGTCCTTTTACCAGAGAAAAGAGGCAAAGTGAGTGGCAAAGCTTTATGTGAAAGTATAATTTCATGTATTCAATAAATAGTTGTCTACTGAGTACAAGGCACTGAACTAGGTAATAAACAAAAGCACAGACTTATTCTCAGAGTTTAGAGTAAATATATAAGTAAAACATTAGAAAAATTTAAGAAATTCATTTTCTTATCAGAAAATAACATTTGGCATGAAAAGAATAAATCCTGTTATTAATTATTAAATATACAAAGTGTACAAATACACAGTATTTATAGCCATGAACTTAAAATAATTTAAGTTACCTCTGTCATTTATAATACTATACAATCAAATTACCTCTATGAACTCCAAGATCTGTTCGGCAGAGTGATGTCCTTCATATTCATGAATGTTGGACTGGTTGAACACCACTGTGGTTGGATAAGCTTGAATGTTATACTATTAGAATGAGAATACAGATTAAACAAGATTTTATATATTTTACCTATTTGTTTCAAATTTATAACCAGCTTGCCTTTATTTAAGTGACAATAACAACAAGATTTAAAAACCCATTGCTAAATTATTGGTGACTAAAAGATTTTAGCCTGGACAAATTAAGCAAAGAAAATGGACTCACAGTTGTACTGATGAATACCTCACCCTATTTATAGCAACTCCATTAGGCATAAAATCCATAGGCATGAAACATGGAGAAGTGAGCATGGGTAATAATGAGTTGGCGGTCCCTCTTTACTTTCCTGAACTGAGATGCATGAGGCTGTAAAGAGCAGGCTAGTCTCTAGCTTAAGTCTTTTTTTGAAACCATAATAAATATTCAAATTTGTCTAGAAGTAGAAGAAAATCAAGAAAATGGAGTAGCAGGAATAAATATATTAATAACTAATGTGTATACAATCATATTTTAGGTTAGAATTATGAATCATGCCCCAAGAACGTGGTCACTTGGTTACTTTTTAATTCTTATATTCAAGATAGCTTTTATGATACAAAATACTATAATTTACTCCTTGGAATTAACATGAACACTAGTTCAGGAAACATTTTCCTAAAGATTTAATTTTTATTTATTCTTTAGAAGGTAATAAAGAGATCCCTGTGTATTTGCTGTAGCTGAACTTCACATCTTTAAAGTTGACAAGCACTTATTGGCAAATTGGAATCTGTGACAAAGATTCAAAAATAGTTTGAGAGAAAACAATGGAAGCATTTATCAAACTTTTGTTAGAATGAATGCAAATTTGAGTAACTCATTATGTTAATAAAACAATTAAACCTAACATTTAACAAGTACTTACTAGGTGCCCAGCGCCCTTTTAACACTTGAACGTGGAGTTTCTAGTCTGTCCCTCACAATTCTATTTATCAGCTAAAATTACTATGTCAGCTTCACGGAGGAGGAAACAGGCTCTGAGAGGCCAAGTGACTTGGTGAAGGCCCACCAGTCAGCAGTGAGTCCTGGCGTGGTCCAGGTGAAATGATGTCATAGTTTTAAATCCTTACATTTTACTCAGTTACCTACAGGCTACTTAATACCTAGCTGAGATTAAAAAGTAGAAAAATAATTCAAATTAAGATAATTATTGGATGTCTTAATATTGTATTTTTGCTTAGCATCTTTTCAGAGTCACATACAATACATCCAAAACCAAAGGCCTTATTTATTTCATTTTTAAACTTATTTTAATGAAATTTCAAATATAATGAAAAGAGAATAATAAATACCCACATATCCTTTCCCTATATTTAAGGAAGATTAACTTTTTTGCCACTGGCAGATTGCTGGAAGTTCTCTTTCTTGATTCTGTTTCCTTCCCTCCCTGACACTAGGAGCAACTGATAAACCAATATCCTAAAACAGATGTTTTTACATTTTTGCTACATGTATATGTATCTCTAAGCAGTATACTGCAATGTCTGAGCATTTAAAAGCTTTCTGTGATTTTATCATACTCTGTAGACTATCCTTCAACCTGCTTTTTTCATTTTACATTGTACTTTTGAGATTTACCCATCTGGTAAAGATAGATCTAGGTTTAAAGGTTCTCTGGTATTCCACTGTGAGACTGGATAATTTATTTATCCAAAGACTTGCTATTGTGAAATTTCTAAATTTTTATTTATTTGACAGATGGGGATATCCAGGACTATTGTTGTAATTTGTACTTTCTTGACTAGTAAAGTCGAACATTTTATATTTATTGGATTTCCTTTTACAGAAGTGTCTGTAAGCTTTTCTTTTTCCTATTTAAAAAAAAAAAAAGATTTATAATCTAAATATTCTGGACACTAAGGTTTTGTTAGTTATATGTGCTGTGAAAACTACTTCAGTCTGTTGTTTAACTTTAGCGTCTCTTTTTTTGGCAAAAGTTTTAACATTTAAGGTAACCAAATTCATTCACATTCATTAATTTTTATAGTTTGTTTTTGTTGGTGTGCGTGCGCACATGTGTGGTGACAAATTATTCTGTACACAAATACCATAAATGTTTCACCCTACATTTACTTCTGTTATATTTTTAAAACTCATTGCTTTCTTTTTTCCTATTCCTTTCCCCATTGTTTTTTCTCTACCTTTTTTTCATTCATCTTTTTGAAAAGTTTTAATTTTTAGGGATTTTAATTGAAAATACACACAAAAGCAGAGAGCAATAAAGTCTCAAGAACTCTTGTAGCTACAACAATCATCCATTCATGGCTACTCTTATTTCATCTACACCCTCTTCCACTTCTACACCAAGATTATTTTAAAGCAAATTCCAGATAGTTTATCATTTCATCCATAAATGTTTCAGTACATTTAAAAGTACAGGGACTTTCTCCCAAATATAAACAGACTATCATTTCCATACTTAAAAATTAACAATTGATGAAAATCATCAGACATCCTGTCAGTGTTCAAATTTTCCCAATTCTCTCTTTATTTTTACAGCTGGTTTGTTTGAAAATAGCATCCAACAAGGCCTAAACTTGCATTTGAATGATGTCTTTTAAGTCTTCAATCTCTTCTTCTCCCTTTCAATACATCTGTCAGATAAACTGAGTGTTGTCTTATAAAGTCCACTACAAGTTGGGATTTGCAGATTGCATGCCCATGGTGTCATTATCATGTTCCTCTCTGTCATCGGATTTCCTAGACACTATAGATCTGGAGGCTTGATTTGATTTTTCCCCCCAATATTTTTTCCCCTATATTTTAAAGGTTGTATTATATACTTTCATCATGTGGCAGATAATTTCCAATACTTCTTACAACTGAAGAGTGAATATTAATTAACCTAATAAAGGACGCGTATTTTTATGTAAACAAAGAGCTCATTCATTGTTTTAATTTCCTTCTATTGTATTTATGAGGAAAGCCAAAGAATAAAAACCACAGACTGCCAAAAGGTAGTAGTAAGTTAAAAAACATAAAGATCTTAAATAACTGAAAAATCCTGTATTTTATCAAGTCAACTAAATATTTTCCTGAGTTTGATAAATAGGACCATATCTACATTTAACTATATATATTATCCATGTTTTAAACCACCATAATTTTGCATCGTTTTGTTGAAATTGTTTAAATAATTTACTATTCTAAATGTAGACATATGTTTGAAAAAGTTATTATTTTAGTATTAAATTAGATGAATTAGAATAAGTTGTTTTATACTTTGCCTTACCATGTTACAGAGTCCCTCATGAACTGTACAATCTAATGTACCAAACTTAAGCTGGCCATAAAGATGCTTTGATGCTTTTCGTAACTCTGGTAATAAAGCTCGACATGGTGGACACCACTACAAAAGAAAAAAAAAATCATATGCACTTAGCCAAGAGAAACAAACAAATAAAATACACATTTTTACAATAAACAATATGCTACATAAGACAAACCACACTTAGTTGCAAATAGTATGCATGTACTCGTATACATACACTCAATCCTTAGAGAAACAGGTACATCAGATCTCTCTTAGATGCAATACAATATGTGGCCAAAACTGTAAAACACAATTCTAGTACTCATGGTTTAATGCTATCTAGAAAATATCTTTTTGCTGTGACAAGAGAAAATATGACAATATTGAAAATAACTTACAGGGGCAAAAAAATCAACAAGCCATGGTTCTTTGTCATTGGCAGGAAAATTCTGAGGTCCAAGTGTGGTAACATGAGAATGAACACTTTCTTTGGCAAAGGCAAGTATATCATACAGAATCTTCTTTCCTTTGAAATTGAGTAAGAGGAAAGTTAAAATCCACCTTCTGCCTTTTATCCATAGAAACATTTCAAGGTTTTTATAAATTATTAAGGAAAAGAAGATAAACTTATGAACAAATTGATTTTGGTGAGGTTTTAGTGTTCTGTATTCTATATCTACATAGGTTTGCTCTGCTAGGAGTACTCTTTCCTTTATTTACTCTTGGAGGGCCAGTTAAAATGTCAAGATATCGTTGAAATATTTTCATTCTCAGAGGCTGACTGATAACTTCTCAGAGGCTGACTGATAACTTTCTTGCAGTGTGCTCTGAGTTCTTTATGCTTACCTGAACTATTACTGTGGCCTAACTCCTAAATCTGTTTCTTCAATTTAGACTTTTCTTATAAATTCAAAACCTGTATTACCAGCTTCCCAGTGGAAAATTTACCTGGGTGTCATATTAATATTTCAAACATAATACTATATTCAAATTGAAGTTATTTCCTTCCCCTCCCTCCAACTTGTTCCTTTTCTCACCTTCCCTATCTTGGAGATGGCATAATCACCCACTAAATGCCTAAACAAGATTTCCTGGAGTGATTCTAGCCTTCTTTCTTTCCCTTGTATCTTAATTCCATCCATTCTATTGGGCGGTCGGAAAATTCATGATGTATTTTTCTGTTTTTCGTTGCAAAAATGCGTCATGACTTTTCTGACAACTCAGTATTTCTTACCATCTTCACCTCCAATTTAGGCTACTTCCTAAATTCAGTCTGGCTTACTGCAATATCCAAGCTGGACTTTCTGCTCTCTTATCTATTTTCTACATTGCTACCACAATTAATTTACAAAAACAGTAATCTGATCACATTGTCCTCTTGCTTAAAGACCTCTAGTGATGTGCCGTTGCCTAAAGATTACCGTATTTCCCCAATTATAAGACGCACCCTTTTTTGAAAAATTTGGGGTCTAAAAACTGGGTGCGTCTTATACAGTGGTTGTAGATTTCAAATGACATAGATGGAACTGAGGACAAGGCAATATATGAAGACAGTGGTTGGTCATTAGACACAGATGAGGACAAGCTAATGGTTGGGAGTTCTGACAGTGATGAGGAGTTTTATGAGTTTTATGATGAATAAAACTTGAGTTCAATAACTTTAAGTAATACATTTTTTTTCCCAAATTTTGGGCCCCCAAATTAAGGTGCATCTTATACATGGGGAAATACAGTATACCTATATTTCTTGGCTTGGCAAATAATGGCTTTCTCAACCAGCACATAGTCCATTTTCCCATGTGCCCTTTGACTTATTCAATAGTCAATATTAAGTCAAGAACTTATCATGTGTCAGGCCCTGTTTTAAATGCTGTGGGACATGCAAAATAAAAAAAAAAAAAAAGACATAGTCTTTTCCTTGAGGAACTCACAGCCCAGTAGGAGACATTTTCACAAATATTTAAATATAGTGACAAATGACACCACATTCTCTGTTTTTTTTTTCTCACTCTTCACCTGCTGCTTCTTGAATTGTTTAATGAATTCCTCTATCTTTGACTATCCCTTAAAAGTGATCCTTAGGGCCCTGATCTTGTCCTATCCATTCTTAGACAAGCTCACCCTCGTTCAAGGTTTCAATTACCATTAAAATGATGACTATTTATATCTACATTTTTAGCCCAAATTCCTCTTCTGAGGCCCAGGCCTATATTTAATTGTGAACTGGGGGTGTGTCTACTCCATGTCGACTCCTCGCCCAGCGTTCTTTTCCTCACTCAGTGATGCAGTCAGTCACTCAATTGCCAATTCACCAAGTCAGAAACGTGGGCCTCCTTTTCTTCTCTCACATCTAAACAATCATCATCAAGTTGTACTGATTTTGTATTCTTGGTATTTAAAAAATCCGCCCACTTCTTTTCATTGGCATTATTTAAATAAGCAGCCATCTTCTCTTACATAAACGACAGCATCAGGCTTCTTCCCACCTGCTCTCCCTTCCTCCAGTCTTGCTTCTATCTATTCTAGGCAGCCGGTCACCTTTCCAGAAAGTCAAACGAGTTAAATCATATCTCTGCTTAAATCCATGAACGCCTCTGCTGCTTTGCCCTTAGTGAAGAGTCCAAATTCTTTGAGCTGAGCGAGGAAACACAGTTTGGACCCCTGGTACCCTCTCCAGCCTAAGTCTCATTCTTTTCCAACATTCAGTATTCCTGCTATTCTGGAATTCTTGCTTTCTAAGAATGAATGAAGCTCTCTCTTAGTGTCCATAAATAAAACTGCTGGTTCCTTGGCTTGGAATGTGTTTGCCACCTCTTTATTTGGGTAACCATTACTTATACTTTATATCTCAATAAAGAGATTGCATAATACTCCTTACTTCAGACATTTAAAAAATTGCCCATTTATTGTCTGTTTTCCCCACTAATCTATAATATTCTTTAAGGTAGAGATCAAGTATAGTTCACATTTTTTCCTCTCCATCATACTTTAACTGGCACAAGCTATACTCAATACATAATTAAATCTGAAGAAATATAATTATGCTATAAAGGAAGTACTTGGGGGAATTCATGGTATATTTCCCAGGGTGGGAAATGCTTTAGGCTAAGTTTTGAAGGGTGATTTGGAGTTTGCTAAATATTTTGGGGAGCAGTAAGGAATGACTACAATGCAGGAAGAAGAAAAATCTTGTTCAAAGGCACAGAGTAGTGAAAGAACATGGTATTTTCAAGGATCCACAAGTAGATATAGGTAAGATTATTTGGAGGGGCAGAGGTGAGAGATGAAGATAGAAAAACCAGCAGAGGCAGACTGTAAATGTATCCTATTAATTTAGTTCCTACTATACACTGAGTTCCTACTATGTGCAGGCACCATTTTAAGTGCTAAAGATAGAGTAGTGAGCAAAACAGACAAAGTAATTGCTCCTATGCTAAGAAATCTGAAGTTTATTTTAAAAGAAATCAGGAGAGTCAAAAGTGATGAGATTGTTCTAGATGTTCTAAGGTAATAAATAAAAATAAGTAACCAATTGTAAAGAAAGGCAACGAGATGGATAACTGTGTCAGGATGATATTATAGTACATGAAGGAGATGATGGACCTGAAATAAGGCAGCAAGCACAAAGAAGGGGAATCGAATAAATATTTCAGGAGTAAAAAGAACAGAACTCCATTATTAAAACGTGCTCATTTCTAGCACTTTAAAGAGGTGGGATTTAGTGTGGCTGTAAGCCTAGGCTTTGGAGTCACACATATTTGATACAAAAATCTACTTTGACCAGTTACTAGTTGTTTGTCATGGGCTAGAAGGTTACTTAACCTTTCTGAGTCTCAGTTTCCTCCCTTGCTGGATTGTTGTGAAGATAAAAAATGGAAATGCAAAAGTATGCAAAGCCTTTAGAAAAACGTCAGACTGAGACAGTACTGAGTAAAAAGTTACTGTTAGGTTTATATTGCCAAGCAAGTCTTGGCTTCCATAGTTCCTATGGCCCAGAGGGACTCACTTCTTGTGTTCTGTTTTTGCTTTGGGAAATTGAGCATTCAAATGTCACCTCAATTCAAATATTAGCCCCTGACCTAAACTATGCAGAAGTCTCTTTATTTGATCTTGTGATTTATACATAACCGCCATATTTTCTTAGAGATAACCCTCTTCTCACTCGTACTCGATGATAGTTTAAGCTTTCTGAGAGCAAAGTCCATGTCTTACAAATTTGTATTCCTAATGCCTAAAACAGTGCTTGTGACATAATAAGCATAACATCAATATCTGTTAACTGTGTGATAGTTTCTGTGCATCTCTTTTGTTACATTTGACCTTTTTCGGGGCAGGGGCTATGATGCATTCCAAACCCTAGGAATTGGAACTGTACTTACATGAATGCAGAGCTAAAGTTCCAAATAAGCTGAAATGTAGAACTATAATTATAAATTCAAGAGAGATGACAAAGCAGTTAATGGAGATGTGTGGTTGTCTAGTCGAGGAAAAATCTAAATGAATATCTGGAAATTGCTCATAACGGCTGAGATGCTACATTTAGCAAATTAAAATGGAAACTCTAGGTGTTACTTACTTTTGTCAACAAGCAAGACCCTTTAATTCCTCACTGGCCTGACATGTAACCACCGTTCTTGCTCAAACACTGATCAAAATATTCAGTAGAAATTTTCCCAGACAAGACAAAGGTGAAGGAGTTCATCACCACCAAATCAGTATTGTAAGAAATGTTAAAGGGACTTCTTTAAGAAGAATAAAAAATATTGCAAAGAAAATAAAATTCTCACTGCCAAAGGCAAACACATAATAAAAGCAGTGGATCACAACATTAAAGGCAGTACAAAGGTTAAAAGGCAAAAGAATCAAGATCATGTGTAATTACAGCAGTAAAGCAAGGGATGCAAACAAATACACAGACACAAAAGTAAAAAAATAATGACCAAAACATAAATGTGGAGGGGGTGAGTAAAAATGGTAGTGATCTTAAAATGTGCCAGTATTTAAGCGGCCATCGGCTTAAAATAGACTTCTATAAACATAGCTTGCTATATATGAAGCACATGGTAATCACAAACTAAAAATCTACAAGACGTACAAGAAATAAAGAGAAAGGAATCCAAACACAACACAACAGAAAGCCATGAACATATAAAAGAAGAGGGCAAGAGAATAAGACAGGAACAGAGAAGAATTACAGAAACAATCAGAAAACAATAAAATGGCAATAAATACATACCTATCAATAATTACTTTCAATGTAAATGGATTAAATGCTCCAGTCAAAAGGCAAAAGGATAAAGAAGACAAATGGATAAAGAATATATAGAGGGTGCCAAAAATATATATACACATTTTAAGAAAGAAAAACTGTATTAAAATTGTAATACTAAATATATACCGATAACAAAAGATGAATGCAAGTCACGTTTGACTTCTGCAATTACAAGAGGTGCTCAAAGTGGTTACCATGAACTACTGCTTGAGCAACGCTGACCCAAGTGTCCGCTTGTATACAATTTTTTGGTACCCCCTGGTATATTGTGATATTGCTCAGCCATAAAAAAGAATGAAGTCTTACTATTTGTGACATGGATGGACTTAGAGGGTACTATGCTAAGTGAAACAGGTTGGACAGAGGACGACAAATACCGTATGATTTCACTTTTATGTGGAATCTGAAAAACAAAATAAATGAATAAGCAAGACAGCAGCAAACTCACAGACACAGAGAACAAACTGATGGCTGCGAGATGGAAGGGGGTTGATGGACTGGATGAAAAAGGTGAAGGAATTAAGAACTGGCAGTTACAAAATAGTTATGGGGATATAAAGTACAGCTTAGGAAATATAGTCAATAATACTGTAGTAATTATACAAGGTATCAAGTGGGTGCAAGACTTACTGGGGGACCACTTTGTAAGTTACATGAATGTTTCACCATTATGCTGTACAACTGAAACTAATATAATATTGAATGTTAACTGCAATTGAAAAATAAAAATTTGAAAAGAAAAAGATTTTAAAAAGAGTAGAGTATAAAATAACTATATAATTAAAAGTAACTTTTCCCACAAGAAACAAATTTACTAATAAATGAGAAAACTTATTTGTAAGTATGTCCATACAACAGAAGGTAAAACATAAAATTAAAAATTGCGGGCATAATTTGTTTTATTGTGCTTCATTTTATTGCACACTGCAGATACTTCATTTTTTACATATTGAAGGCAAGGCCCTCTACCGGTAAAAAGATTATGGCTTGCTGGTCTGGAACTGAACCTGTAATATCTCCAAGATATGCCTGAACTATTTGAAAATGAAGATGCATTTCTCACTTTTCCCTCTTACCATGATGAATTTCATATTCTTTGGTTCCTTGTCCTTTAAATACTGCTAGACATGGCTGAAAAACATAGAGATTACTGCAGATGTCTGGTGCAGAGGAACAGTCAAACTTGCCAACCTAAAATAGAAAGAGAAGGTTCCATTTGATGAAAATAAAATCTTACCCATTCAGTTAAATATTCATAAAGATGATCCAAAAATGACAATGCTCTAACAATACAGTTTCTAAACAGAAGCTGGTGGGCCATAAATGTAAGATATAGAAATAATGTACACTTAACACTGAAACTCATTTAGTTAAAAAAAGCCTCCTAGAAAATTCAAAAACCTGAGAAGAAATTTCCAAGACAATATAAAGTTGTTTAAGAAATCCACCCTTCTAAAAAGATAAAGGATATTTATATAATGTTGGGATGGGAGAGAAAGAGAACTTTTTAAATGAAACCCCAGAAGCAGAAATAATAAAAAGGTTAAAATTTTCATATATTGTGAAAGAAAACTAGTTATTTAAAATGTAATTTTAAGTGTTAAATAAGAAAACATACTAGCAGAAAGTATTTTTCTTACTTGAATATGTTCATTTTTAAGTAGACTTTTTAGTTTCTTCAACTCAGGATCATTTGAATTTTCATTTTTTCCAAAATGAAAAAATACGAGCCACCGATGATGAGCCAAACGATCCTTAAAGTGATTTAAAAAAAAGTGATAAAGGAATGTTAGAGACAGGAAATTCTAAGCATTCTAATCTTTCTCTCATTGACGTAAAGTTAATTTTAACCATCCTATCCACTACTTTAAAATATTGTCTAAAATTCAGACCCATTCATATTTTTATTTTGTTATTTATTTGGAATAATGCTATGTAAATCAATTATGAAGATTACAGAAGGATAAGAGTCACTAAATTATAAAATCTTAGACGATTGTGAGAAAAAAATATAGTTTTTAACAACATTGCTAAATAGTTGGAAGGTGAAGGAAGTTAGCTTTTTCAGGTTCAATAAAAAGTTTGGTAGGAATATAGACTTAGAAAGCTCTGGGATCGATAAGTAGAAGAACAATAATTCATTCTACTACAAACTGAGTACTATTTCTAAAGCTGCTTCTTAATTCTCACTGAACAATATAAATGGTTCTGCAAGCAAGAACATCAAGTTCCAAATCAGACCCAAAGCTGCTTTGTGATCAAAATCTCGCCTTTTCTGACACTTCTCCTGAAGCCCCTGAGGGCTGGTTAGAGTTTACAAAACTACAGATCCTCCCTGTACCACCAGAAACTCTGGCTATTAGAGTTTAACTGAGAATTGACTGATGTGTAATCCTTTGACACTGCTCCTTTCTCTGTAGTGATGATGAATGAAACAAATGATTTTAAAATGATGACTTGAAATATTACCAACATTTATTACTATTATTATAAAAATATTACCTCTAGTGTGTTTGCCGAAAGTAGTTCAAAATCGGGAAGGTTATGCATTATTTCCAAATATATTTCTTTAGCATCCAATGAATTAAGAAACTAGAATAAGAGAATAATATTGTAATCTTTGTAATCAACATGCGTTTGTTTTAGTCTTTATTTTTTTCAGTTTCCATAGAACTTTTAAGAAAAACCCCCACAAAAGTTAAACAGTTTTCAAGCTATTTATTCTAATGTTGCCCTCCCCAAAAAGTATCATATTTTGACAATTATTAAAAATTGTATAACTGGGCTTTTTCTTAAAAAAAGTAATGCAAAACAAATTCCATTATTAGGTATTTCATTACCCGAAATTTTCTATTAACTGTGCTGTGTATTCTAAAATAATCCTCATGATAACCTGGAGTGACTTCTGAATCATCAGGAAAAAGCTATATTATATTCAGTTCAACTTTAATGTTCACATTTTAAAGAATGCCAACACTTTACAAATTCTTTACGAACTGATAAAACACTAGAATATTTGATGAGCCAAGATGCTTCATACTCTAACCAATAATGAAAAGGAATTAAGACCTTATAACTGCAAAATTGGAATAGACCTTGTTTATTATAGAAGTTTTTAATGTCCAAAAACCAAATCACCTACGAGCTTTGCAGAGTAAAAGATAAAGATCTTATCTTAAATATGTTTTAAATCTAGGTGTCTTACTGAAAACAAATAAACAGCTGCAAAAGCACACCTCCCTTCTAACAAATCTCCTTCACCTTTATCTATATTTTATCCTCAGCATATTTTTCTTACAGAACTACCACTGCTGGCCTAATTCTCAATGAAGCAGCTGTCGCTACAAAGAGTGCAGCAATGGTTATGTCACGAGAATGTATATGGGGGTTGACAAAACAGAGTTTAATACATATCTTTAATTATGAACCATCCATGTTTAACAATTCGAATACTACTGATAAGTAGTGAAAGATATAAAACTCCATTAAAAACTTGTAGGAACCACTGTATTCACAGCTTAATTGTGCTCGACATGAGACCCACCATACGGATAGAAACAATGGAAATAAGAACAGGAAACTCAGTTTTTCCTAAGTTTTTTTCTTAAAACTTATTTTTCTGTTTTTTAAGTATTCTTAAAGCTCTGTATGAAATAGGTAGTTTGTTACCAAAGGGCTTAAGAGGCCCAAATAGAATTCTTTCATGCCTCAGTAGCACAGCTCATTTACTTTAGTCACATTCATTATGAATAGTTTACTAAAATACTCCTACAACAGCTTATATAAATATGTAAGTGATGCATCCTCTAGAACATCATTACAAACCTGTTTGTCTCATGTAAAACTTGGTAGTTATATCTATAAAGGACACTTGTGTCTTAAGTTTCACCTTCTACACATATTTAGCTAGCATAGTGTTTTATATTTCTTTAAACTTGAATGTTTTTACGTGGGACAAGGACTGTTTAATTCATCACTCCTGGTTATTACATTTCCAGTATCACTCATTTATGTTTCAAGATCGCATCTGAGCTTGTAGTTTTGTATCAAAGAGCCCAAATATCTCACTAAAATATGAGGGAGTAGCTTACTGAAGGCAAGAGCCTGTGTTAAGTGTTGGCCAGGGTACAGGCAATCCTCCTGAACTGGTGGCACAGGGTAAATAAACACAACTTTTCTCTATGGCAGTTTGGCCAGACGATTGAATTTAAAACTGTGATAGCGATCTCATTTTAATAAACAGGTAACAGAAGAAGCACAAAAAGATGAACAGGATTGTTCATTACAACACTGCTTATAATCACAAAGTAGACATAACTTGAATGTCTATTAGGAGAGGACTGATTAAACTAAGTATGTTATTGTACATTCCGTCAATGAATTACTATTCAGGAATCGTCGATTACTATTATTTATATATATATATATATATATATTTTTTTTTTTTAAGATTTTTTTATTGGGGAATTGGGGGGATGGGAACAGTGCTGGGGAATTAGGGAAGGGGAACAGACAAGTTGCTGTCCTTTTGTTCTTCAATCTAGTTGTGGAGGACATTGCTTCACTGGCGCAAGTTGGCACCATCATTGCGCTCTT